AGTTACCTCATTTTTTCTAAACGATATTAAATCTTCAATAACAATTCCATCATAGAACTGCAGAGTCTATTCTTATTACGTCGAAATGGAAATGGACGTAATACAGATACCGCGCGACCCATCTCGCGAATATTAATTACACGCAACATGTAAATTAACACGGACGGACTGGAAACAAAACGAGCATTTAACTGCACGATTAATCAAGATGAAAGAGTTATTTTTTTAAATCAACATCGAATAAAATATTTTATATATCTGTATAAGATATTTAATTCTTTACACGGATAATCGCTGTCACAGGTGGTATAACTCTGCATCGATTAATCAGAATAAATATATCGCTTTCATTTCCTACGAAATATTGGATCAGTCCGTCCCTGTAAATTATTGGCCTTTTAGGGTATATCGCCCCTAATATAATATATATTTGCGCGCGCGCGCGCGCGCGCGCGCGTGTGTGTGTGTGTGTGTGTGTGTGTGTGTGTGTGTGTGTGTGTGTATCACATAACTCGCATTGTGACTTGGCTATGAGTAAAACTTAGGAACCACACGGTCAAAAACTCTCATCTCATCGTGAGGTTTGCTTAGGTACTTGACGAGCCTCGACAGCGATTACAACCGTCCATTACATGAAGAGTATTGGTCCAAAGAGAAATGTTTGGGTATATCTGAAGTGATCCGACGTCTCTCGGGACGTCGTTTCATTGCGGATAATGATCTAAGACAGAGGTTTCCATCAAACAGCGCAACGTCGCTCCCAAAAGGATCGCGTGAATCGGAGGGTATTATTTATAATCTCTTTATTAACATATCTTTTATATTATCGCGTACTCTGTTTCACGTGCAAAGTGCTTGAACGATTTCAAAAGATTTAAAATATTCAAGTTTCATCAATGGTGCAATGATAAGTTGGTTCGATAATTGTAGATCTCGAAGATTTGAAGCTTCAAGAATTCGTAGATTCACAGGAATTATCTGTATTCTTAATTTCTCCGGTTTTTGGGACGTCGTGTCACGAAGTTTGAAAACCTCCGATTAATTTTCTTCCCTCTATCGGAGCGCCGCTCCGATTACGGCGATTATCGAACCGCCTGATAGAAGCTCAAGGCGTCCGGCGTTGTCTTGATCGAAGATCGCTCTTGTCAATGTGCCAGCACGCAGTGCGTTTCGGCGCTCGTACGTAGCCGCGCAATAAATAAAATATGTGAGTTCGGACAACTCGATACTTACGGCTGCTCCGGAAACTGAAGGCCCGATCCGACGGCGACGCCATCCGGCGCTCCGCATTTCCGTTCACGGAACGCTCCGCAATTTTTCGCGGGAAGGGCGGCCGACACTCATATCTTATACATGACGGTTAACCGCACCGCCGAATTATAAGGTCTGTTTTTTATAGCTGAACTGATGTACACTTTTGCAACTTACAACAAAATACTTATACTCTTTAAAATTTTTAAAGTGAATCTCACTCTTATGATACTTACATTCTGTTCTTATTTCAAAATCAATCTTAAGTAATGTATTAAGATGCTAATACTGATCTGTGATTGGCTTGTGATACCTTAAGACTATACTTAAGATAGTTTTAAACACGAGCACCGATTGTGAATATCGATCTTAAAGATTGAAAATTAAGCTCTTTATCAAAATTCACTCAATTTTCACTCTTTAGATCTTAGAATGAGAGTTGAACCGATTTTGATAAAGGGCGGCTGAATTCTCCCTCTAAAGAATTTCACTGCAAAGAATTTGTGTATTTAAGAGAATGTATGTTTGATATTTAGCTAAAGTGAGGAAAAAAGTTCCAGTACAGGTTTGGTGCAGGAATAAAAAACAGACCCACGGAACATAGCTCTGCGCACGCACATAATATTGTGGCGAACATACAAGAACGTCCGTCGCGCGTTTCGCTCGCTGCCGTCCTCGGTCCTCGCAACGAGCTCAAATTGCATTTATTGAGAAATTAATTAAATTCATCTTCCCGAGCTCTCGTATTCCAAGATACTTGAATCCTTAATTTTCCGTACACTAGAAGTACCAATATTTCTTACTCATTAAAAAGAGATCAGCAAATAAATTACTATAAAAATAAAAAGTCGAAAAACCAAATAATTCGTCAGTATAAAAGATATAGTTATTGAAAAGTAAACAAATTTTATATAGAATCCTATTTTTTATAGAAAAAAACATTAATCTAGAAAATAGAATGATCAATAATGACTTCCCGGTACTCCTAGTGTTAATCTTTCCGTTTTATAATTTATCGTTTACTTTCACAGCAGGAACTCAAGTCGGAGAATAGAAAGCAAAATATATATAAATTAAAAATCTATCCAAAAATTTCTTTCAAAATAAATTAGTGCTAATATGAAATTTTTTGCAATTTAAAAAAAGTTCAAAATTAATAAGAGATTGATCAAAAGAATTAGTAATAAAAAAATATAATAAAATAATTAAAAATAAAATCCAATTCTCGTTTACCAAGGATTGGCAGCGTAGTCTACATCTTATCTCTTACTTTCTTTTTCTCACTCTCGTTCACTCACACGAAACTTGCGTTTGTAACGCGAATTAATCATGAAAAATGATCGTTAATAATAATTGCGCGTAGCGAAATAATATTACGATTAACAAGACCTTCTTCGTAACAATTATAATGATCGCTATCGCAATAATTCGTAGTACCCTTTGAAAAATTTCATTTTTCGGTGTTCGAAAATCACAGCGCGCGTTTCAGCCTTCCATTGCATATTAATTAGACCGTTTTATCTTACTTAGAAAGCGTAGGCCTTCGTGTGCCACCACGCATTCCCTTTGTGCATTTCTGTTTTCCCCTCCCCGCTCTTCTGCCTCTTCTCGTTTTTCGAATCATCGACAAACGTAGAGACGATTCGATCGAAATCAATTAAGGGAACAGAACATTGATCAACAACGATGTGACAATGCGTGCAATATGTTGCGGTAACGTCTCTCCGGAAGCGGATCATCAGAAACGCCATTCTACGAGAGATTATAGTGATCGCGATAAATAAGTTGCAAAAATACACAGTTTATCATTCAGACGATTACGAATTGAATTGCCAATTTCTCGATTTTACCGTAACTACGTGATCTGGAAAAGAAATGACCGGCATAAGTAAAAAATGAATGCTCGAATGAAGAAGTAAAGAGAAAGAAGTCATCTTCTCTCAAATAAATGTACACCGAACGTAAAAAATGTATCTAGTCTTCGTATAAAGTTTAGGAAATGATATCAGAAAGGAGACGTTTGCATACGTGATACTGTTACAATATTTAGAGTCTCATCCTCGTTTCTTACGATCCGATAAAGCCGCCGCGACTCGCGAGAGAGAGAGAGAGAGAGAGAGAGAGAGAGAGAGAACCGAACCAAGACGCAGCTCACCGTTTTCGCGAAAACTATTCGAAGCATTACTATCGATCGATTGTCCTCGCAAAATTCTGACTTCGTGCCAGTCATACCGCCCGACTGTCAGCGTGTGAGCACGTCATCGATAGATCTCCTTGCCCTATTTATTTCTCCGTCCACCCGTCCGCTCTCACGAAATGCGACGAAAGTTTCGAGGGCGCGGTATAATCGATAATCGTCCTTTTCCTCCCATCCTTCCCACCCACTATGCACTTTCCTGCCTAGAGCGGCCGGACGGCTCATCCAAAGACGTGGCGAACGGATTAACCGACAAATAATTATCGCTAATGAGGCCATTGGTCGAACGGATTCGCCCCGCGAATCATTTACACCGTCGCGCCGATCGCTGGTCCAGCCTTCCGCTAAAATTCGAGGGTAGCACTTTTTCCGACTAGCACTTCCTCCCCCTGGGAAGAACGATGCTAGAATCTGATTGAATGGACTGTCATTCCAAAACTCTTTTCACAATTCTTGGATTCTCGACCATTCGGGGATTCCAGTATCTATACGAATCTTCGGAACTTCCTTAATCCTATCAGGATCAATGGCGCGCGAAGTACTTGCCACCCTGATCTCCTCTCGAGGGCGCCTCACCATTTGGGTCCCCGGTATCCCGGCGACTCGAAGGACGGGGGTCAGGGCAGCCCGAAGCCGAAGAAGGGCGCAACCGGACGCTCGTAGAGCAGACGCGACGGCGGAAGTGGCGGTGGCCGCTTCCTCCGCGGGGCAATCACCGTCCTCTACAAGGACCCCTTCCCGGCGAACAGCATCTCCCTGTGCTTGGTGCGTATGTGCGAGCGCAGAGTGTCGATCCTGCTGTAGGTGGCCGGACAATAAGGGCACAGCGAGCGCTGCGCGGTGTGTATGTGGAAGTGGTGCCAACGATTGGTCACCTGCTTCCCGCAGGCGCGGCATCTCCATAACGCCGGGCTGTTAAGCGACACGGCGAACATCTCGTGATAAGAGAGGCCGACCGGCACGCTCGGCATCGAACCTGCAAAACCCAACAGCATCTACATGCCCTTCGTGCACAACCAGCGCCAGTCGTGTTTACCCGCAAAGCGCTTAGATCCTGAAGATTCTGCGAGCCTAGGAATTCTTGACGGTCAGAATCCAAGGCAATCCGGTGCTCGCTGAATCTCTAAGATCCAAGACTTTAAGATCCAAAAATTTAAAAAGTCTGGGATCTTCAAGACTTAACGACGAAGTCTTGGTTCCTGAACTCCTCGATTTGTAGAATCCTTTTGATTCTTCGATATCGAATTTTAGCATTAAATCCAAAAATGTTTTATCTGCGAGACTTCGAATCTCTTGGATCCTTCGGTGCGGTAGGTGGTTGTGTGGGTTTTGTTTGGTGCAATGTTCAGGTGTCAGTGTCCTTGAGAAGTCTAATGTATTTACTGATTACGGCCGGTGACGTTCTCTTGTGTAAATCCCAATATTATCAACACACACAAGTCTTAGAGAAATAAAGATAATTGCGTAAAGAACAATGGAAAATATAAATATTGTAAGACTAAGATAATTTGCTTAAAGAGCGATTCAAATTTTGGTTTTCAATTGTGAATTATTTTTTTTTTTTTTTTTTTTTGAGAAACTAAACGTTCAGATAAATCTTTAACTCTCAAGCGAGTAACAGTCGTTCGAATCCACTTTTGAAGAAATTCTTTGAGCGTGCGGATAACGTGGAAGAGACGTCACAAGTATAGGCAGTGAGTCGAAACGATCGAGTGTGTCCGATCATGTGTGAACACATCCACACGCACGATCACCATTCACCTTCTCTTTTATAGTCTCCACAAGCACAGATATTCCACAAGCGTCACAGAATTATATACTCACGTTCTTGATGCCGCCATGGAAATACGAAGAATATGCCGTGGAGTGAAAATAGCGCGCCTCTCCGCGTCCAGAGACTCCTGAGTATTTCAGGATTCCTGGATCCTAGACTTCTAAAATATATGCATTCTCGTATTCGCGAATCATATACGCTAAAGCTCGTGGAATCGCTCGATTCATCGGATCTTCCTGGGAACTTTTCGGTTCCCGGATGCTCTCGGGATCCTCCGAAATAAACTCACGTTTCAGCGATATCGGCGGCAAGCATGGAGAGAAAAATACTTAACCGAACATTACCGATGTTATTGTAAAATTATCTGGGACGGAGCTCGTCGCCTTCAATAATCCGTGCTAGAAGACGTAGTAACTACATATGCTTGTGTTAAGTTCTTATCGTCATCGGCGTATTGGTGTAGAAAGAAGTTACATGCCGTTTCATACACAGAGTGATCAAAAAATCGCGACAAATATACAATAACGACGTTTAAGAGATAGAATTTATTATGCTATGCAAATAACTTTTCGTACTAATTATATTATAATTACGTTATTTTATATTATGCGAATAATGTTTGTAAATACTAATTCTTTCAATATTAATAATTTTTAGATATTATACTTTGTATTATACTTCATCCAGAGTTGTGCGACTTTTTGTTCGGTAATGCAATTGTCGCGAAATATTAACGACAATTGAAACAATAATCCGTTAAATAATAAAACGAAATAAAACGAATAATAAATCAAAAAACTCATTTTTTTCGCGAGCCAAAAAAATTGGCAAATATTTTAAAACATCATCTGCGTAGATCCATGCGATTAGAGAAGCGTCAGTTCTTCACCAGGATGCATTTAAATTAACTACGAGTATCGACATTATGTGATGCGTACTCCTGTGCTTCCTGCGCTTCGACATGATCTGGATATTTAATTAAGACGTTGCGGTGTCATCAAATACCAGATCACCCCCCAAAGGTACGCCGCGTATCGATTATCGGTTTACCTGCAAACAAAGCATCCAATAATCCGCACTGCGCACGAAATCTGCAGAATAATCACGTCACAGAATGGGATTAACGTGCGTATCACTCAAAGTCTTGGAAATTACTGTGAGATACCAGCTCCTTTTTATTTTGTACATACAATATATGTATATATATATATATATATATATATATATTACATCTTTCAATAACCATAGTCTCATAAAATGTTTACATTTCTTAAAAACCTCTCATCGATATCTTCTTACCTTTATAATTGGCCATTAGTACAGCTAAATCGTATGTCCTAAAGCTGAATCGCGTCGCGAACGATTAACCGTAACAATCTTTGAAAAGCAAGAGAGAGATTTTACGGCTTCTTAAATAAAGATATTTCATCAAAACTCTTGCTCTTCAAACGTCAAACAAACGACACCGTCACGCTCCTCCCACTAAGGAATGATGCGAATCCTTTTCTTTCATGGAAAAGGACTCGGAATGAAAGATTACATAATCGCCTAATCGAGGGGGATTAGAAGGTACAAATAGTGAAAAAGTGACGTTAGATTATTTTTTGGTACTTATGCACTACGTAATGTGCGTAACACGCTTCCTTTGGCAGTTACTTTTGGCATTTTGAAGAACACGTATTTTGAGTTGCATTGTCGAGATACGTTTCTATGGGACTTCGAAGCTGTGGATCTGTGGATCTATGTGCGTCCAATTTATTCGCGCATCTGCAGAATCTTGCAATGTATTGATCCATAAATGTACAGTATTTAATAAAATAAATGCACTCAGTAATGTTTTTTGTCGGCTTAAGATTTGAATGACTGTTGTATCTCCTTACAGATTCTGGACATTAAGGGGATCCTAAAGTCGTCTGTATAACCGACTAAATCACATAATTTTTGTATAACAAATACTTTTTTTTTCTCTTTCACAGATTCGAAAATTCTTTTCCAGAATTAAAGTATACGCATTAATACGTGTTTGTGAGGTGGAGTTTATTAGGCCGAGAACGATCAAAAATTTCGAAATTGATTTTTTACCACTTCTTAATGTAACATGGCGTCTCAAAGCTGTCAAGTTGTGACAACATTTGCTTGATACGAAAGTTTTGCAATTTGTACTTACGAAATAGTAATCCACAAACACGTAGTTTGCACGAACAAATAACGTTCTTAAAATTAGATTTAGACGCTTTATCGCGACGAATTTGTTATATGAAAATTGATACAAACGTGCGACTACGTGTATCATAGGTTGCATGAGATATTAATGTGGTAGTAAAGACATGTCGATGCGCTGAAAACAACAATCTCTGGTGACTTCGTCAGAGTTCGAGCTTCGCTTTAGGATCCCCTTAAAGCATCTTAATATCGAGTGCATTCTCTTTTTAATTGCTCTGCAGAAACTATTTTCGTTGAAGAAAAATTGTAATTAATGTTCGATAAAACATCATCGCCTGTATACACTAAACGTGGTAATTACCTCTGTATATTAGCTCTTTACATATTAATTTGTCGATACATACACAGAGAGTTGCGTATCAATTGCAAATTTATCTATAATTGTGCAAATAAAATTTGCCTCGTAATTAATTAATACTGAAAACACTTATTCTTAATTAAGTCTAATGGAAATATTTCCGCAACTAGTTTTATTTCTCAAAAACCAGTTAAATATTAATTTAACAACATTTATAGATAAATACTCGGTCTTCGTCTTCATTCGTTCGTCTTTTATTTATACGAAGATTAATTTCACGATTACGAAAGGGATTTACAATTTCAATGCCACTATTTGTTCATAATACTTTTTTCTTCGCCCCGTCCTTGTTATTCGAGGACACTACATTCCCCAAGTTAATTCACGCTTGTGAGTCCGAGGAGGCTCAAAAGCGCGAGATCGCAAACACAGTCGGCGCAGATCCGAAGCAAGAGTTCGAGTTCATCAGGCACCTACGAGTGTCCACGATTATCAAAGAAAGGGAAGGAGAGAGGAAAGAGGAGAAAAGAAGGAGACGGCAAAACGGAAAGAGGTGAAGACTAATATTTACACGATGGAATTACACGGTTCTCGCAATTACTCGAGACGCCTGGCGTGGCCTTTAAGTAGTACTAAACGCAACATTGACTATATCGAACGCTCGTAAGAAAAGGAACGGTACAAGATTTCTGAGTGTTGCATCGCAAACGCTCTTCAAACGTTTCTTCGAGAGTTCCTGAATCGCATCCTCGAATATGTGGACCAGCTAGCTTCTTAGATCTTCCGACGCTAAAATCCATTCCAGGATCTCGAACAGACTCGTCGCGTCAATCAGCCCTTTGATTTTCGTCCCCCTCATCCCTCCACAAACTCTGAGATTCCATTGTACACTTCCGCTTTTTAATAAACATTAGTTTGCGCTAATGGAGCTTATCTAATGGAATAACGAGTCCGGGGACAAGTTCGGGGAGAGCTCGCGAGATTGCTTCGTACGACGAGATCGAGGAAGTCACGCCAGAGGATGAAGAGGAGGAAGACGTTCGCGGGGATCCACAGTTCTCTAGATCCGCAGCTTAAAGTACGCGGCACGCTCAAAGTATCGCGACGCGTGTGTGCGATACTATTGCACGTGCGCGTGCGCGTGCTTCATACGCGTGTGCGTGAGCAGAGTGTCGCTGCGCGTGTACACCGCTGGGCAGAGCGGACAGGCGTACTTCCCGGGGAAATGCACGTAATAGTGATTGCGCACGTTCGTCACGACCTTACCGCACAACGAGCACCGCCTCCTCTCGTCGCTGTTACTCTGTCTCTCAAATATCTGTGATATCCGCCAATTTTTCAGCTCTGCAACAACAGAAACCACAGCGTCAGCAAAGCACCTCGAATTAGCCCGACCTCCGGTCGCGTGTCATCGCTCTATTTATGTTTTTTGTTTTTCGCGCGTCTTTCTGTTTTTCTAATCTATTATTTGTATCTATGTTTTTCTAATCTCTCTGTCTCTATTGTTTTTTATCTCTCGCAAAATTTCCACCCTTGATGCCGAGATTGAACTCTCACAGTCTGCCAGATTATTATTATGCCCTTCGCTTATCCGTCTCCCCTGGCGTGTGCGTGTGCGTATGTAAGGATACGTGACAACTTTTGAGAAAAATTCAATTGCGTGACCGACTAACATAGTAGACCCAAACTGCGGTTTGTGGCGAGGGATGCAAGATCAAAGGGACGCTGGAATCGAAAACGAAGACACCAGCATGTCGGAAATTCCAAATATTCGGAAAATTTGAAAATAGAGAGGACTCAAACATGCTAAATAAGCTCTCTCTCTCTCTCTCTCTCTCTCTCTCTCTCTCTTCCTCTTTTTCTCTTAGAAACCAACGAACCTTAGCGCACATTTAATTCTAAGATAAAAAATATCCTCCTTCAAAGAGATTTAAAAAAAAAAAGAACAATCTCTTTGTTAAACATTGTCACCGTACTGAAAAAATTTATTAAATCTTAATACATATTTCTTTGAACAGCACTAAGTAAACAGTTGCTTAACAATAAACAAATATTTACTCAATAAAAAACAATAGTTAAATCAAATTAAGGTTTTTGTACCAAATATTTATATACTTAAAATTATATTTATTTGTAAATATATGTTTAAAATAAATACAATTAATTAGTTTCATCAAAGTAATGCTTTTTGTACCAAATATTTATATATGTTTATATTTAGTAAATATTTATCTACTTATAATTATTCAAACAAATATTTATTAAATTTTAGTTTTTTTCAGTGCACGGCGCTGTTTGCGAAAGATAATAAGAAATCGTCTAAACTAGGTCTCTGCAGGACTTGGAGAACGAAGTAACACGAAGTAAACAATCACGATTCCCTGTCCCAGATTTGAATCCGTACGACTTTCCCGCAACTATCTGGAGGAGCATTTCCTCGTCGAGAACGCGTTTCGCATAGAAAAGCGTACACATTCCCGAGTATTCGTATCGACACGAATCCTAGAATACGTCAGGTCGAGGGAGCGATTTCGGACACCGTAAAAATCTGCAAACAATCTCTCGCAAAAGCAAGACAGCGTCGAGAAGCATATGCTCGATATGTATCGCGAAACGCATCGCAATACAACAAAGCTCGTGCAAACATCGAACATAGCGAAATCAAAATCCTGATAAGACCGCGCACACGTGACTCGAAAGTCTAAGTGATCCGACACCTGTTTGCGCCACTTTCTTTCGATATTTCACCGCAACGATTTGACCATGTCCGACTGCCAAATTAAACGTCCTCTCTGAGGATTCGAAGGCACAAATGGATTAGGAATCCATTGGTCTGTTTTCTGTTCCTGCACTGAATTGTTCTAGAACTCTTTTTCTCACTTTAAACAAATATCAAACGTATATCTATCTCACTTTAAGTTCTAAAAGTGTACACTAGGTTAGCCACAGAAAACAGACCTCTTGAGTCTTCAAACTCAACCAACCGCCAAAGGTCAGAGGAAATTAAAATTTAAACAACTATAATTTTGTCGATATGTAAATTAATAAAATTTTATTATGTTTTAATTTATAAATCGTGTTGATCTAATCAAAATTTTATTCGAACCAAATTTTGATTAGAACAACACATTTCTTTGATTAAAACATAACAAAATTTTGATAATTCACATATCAATCACATAAATTATAGCTGTTAGTATAAAACAGCTTCTCTCAGTGCAAGATCGTTCTGGGGAAGATAATTTCGATAGGTACACTTTGGGACTTACAATTTGAGCTATGCAACTACATCATGTATTCGGCCCTCCAAAATTCGTCTGAAATATATCTTCACTTTCTCACTATCTCCGCTAGGTGATCACAGCTATAAAATATCTTGGAATAGAAAGTTATTATTACATATCGTACGATGAAAACAGACCGATCGCAGAACGACGAGAATATTCGTTACGGTAACGTACGCTAACGTTGCCGCTACCGCTGCATTATTTCGCGCTAATAATAGTATTATCGCGCGAGTTGATCGTCGAAATAATTCAACGCGGTTTAAACGATAAGGTGCCGTCGTGGTCCTCCCGGTGTTGAACTGAACGTGATCCCTCAGACGCTCCGTCACAGTCGTTACAGACTACGATTGAGCAGCTGTCGTGACCGAGGCGAACACACGGGGATCAGATTATCCCATGAAACACGAAAATATACGATCCCTGAAATATACGATCGCTTAATATCTAATAACGTTTGACACTAATAAATGTCACTAGTTCATCGTGAATCGAAGTTACGACTTTCCCAAGGTGTTCGACGATGCGCCGTCTCGTGCACATTTACGATATTCTTTCTCGATTCTGCAGAAATGTAAAAATAGGCATCTCGATTGTGAGGGAAAATTGAAAATTTTAGGGAAAATAGGCGAGAGCGCAGATATCGTCGGCGAATACCATGCGAACGTCGAAAAGGGAGAAAAATGATCTGGAAGAAAAAAGAAAGGTAGACGGCTCGGTTAACACACAATTATGTTTAATCAAAAAATTAGTATGAAATACATTAAATGCACATGTGATTAATTCTCCATTTTTTTTGTTTATCATCATCATTATCATCATCATTATCATCATCCGTATTATCTACACTAGAATTAAAGATGTATATAATAATGCAATTGTAAACATAAGAGACTTTATGTTAGAATAATCATAAGGATAAGAATATAATTGTAATAACAATAAGAGAAGTAGTAATAGTAAGAATAATTTCTCGTGATAAAACCGGTTGACGCCTTAACTATTTCATCGATCGGCATGGTTAGAAGTTCCTCTGCAAATTTTTTTTCTTTTTCTCCTTTTCTTTGCTAAATACATCTATTGTACGTTTCGAGCCAAACGATCGTTTATATGTGTAATAGAAAGATATCAACTCTCAAGCAACCTGCCGTTTCACGAAATCGACGATCGCCGTGGTCGCCGTCGTTTCTGGTCCAGAAAGGTACAAAGGATAATAACGACGACGACGACGACGATCGTACGGACGCGATCGAACTTAATTCGCAAAAACGCGAACGTATTCAAGTCCAGGCGGGTCTTGCTCCCTTTTTGTCCGAATGTGTTTTTAATCGCGCGATCGCATTCATTATTCGTAGTGTCCCCGTAAGTAACTGCACTGTCGGAAAAAAAAGCTTTCGAACCTTTCGGTAAACGAATAAAAAAACGGTGAAAGGAAAGAAAAACCGGAAACAAGGAGTCGAAATCAAAGTTCAATAAAAAAAAAGACAAAACAAAAGTAAAAAAAAAAAAAAAAAAAAAAAAAAAGAAAGGTAAAAGGAAAAGGTGGAAGGGGAGAGGCGCAGAATAATAGGAAGAAAAGGTACAAACGACACACACACGTTGATGAAAGGTTTGCAATCACATTGATTACGAATTACTTCGATCAAATCGGCTTCGATCGATCGCCGAATTTTTTTTTTCTTATTTTTTTAAATTAAAGTTCGCCAAGAACGAACTTACGGACGTTTGAGCTTTCGGTATAATGTTTGAGCGCGACGGGACGGTGATGCAAATTTTTCTTCGACGTGTGTCGAAAGAGGAGCGAGACGTTTTGAGGAAAAAAGGAAGGACATTGATCGCGATTTAATTCGTATCTTTTTCTCGCACGCACGCACGCACGCACGCATTCTTTCTCTCTCCTGATCTGTCTATCCTTCTTTCGCTTCCTCTTTTACACTTTCTCTCTCTCTCTCTCTCTCTCTCTTTCTCTCTCGTACGCGCTCGCACGTTATCATACAACGCGGAAAATGCAACGGATAACGATTTTCTTCCTCTCGCCGTTCGTTCATAAATGTCGAATCTAATTTTAGAGGCTCGTTTTCTATATTTACACGCGCCGTGTAAAATCACAACTTTCAGTCTGACAGTCGCGCCGATTCACATTTTATTTTATTTTAAATTTTTTGTTTTTTTTTTTAATGATGAGTAGAACACGCTCAGTATTCTCGCGGGAAACACTGATTCCCTATATTGTTACGATTTACAATTATTATATTTTATTCATCCCCCGAGAAAAATAACAAAATGTATATATATATTTATATATATATATGAAGATAGATATATATACATATATCATGTGTGTGTATATACATATATATCCATAGTTAATCCGTAATTTGTATATATTATTATATAAAGAGATATTAATAATAGTACTTTTTTTTTTATTTAGTTTAATAATGTACAAAGGGAGGCAAGGGGCTGTCGCGCGGTGGTGAAAAAAACAACAAAACGCCTAAACGCGCCCCTTATCAGCTAAGCCTAATCCCTAGGTAACGCCTATTTAACTACACTCATAATGTTCACTTGCACAGCCATAGTTTCTTTCATCGCTTTTCTCGCTCACTCAATCCTCAATCGTTTAGAACGTCTCCTCGATCGCCCGGTTCCACACGATTCCGGGGGTTCGTTCACTTTTTCGTCGACTTTGCTGCCGGCTGAGACAACATCCGGCTGCGCGACACGTTCAAACTCGCATTATCCAAATTATTCCAAATAGAACTCTGAATCGTGAGGTGCAAGTGTGTAGGAAAGAAAGATCCAAAGATATAATAATCGAAAAGGAATTAAAACTTTCGAGAATCCGCCCGAGTTAAATTTCTTTAAGTACTCGATAATGCTGTACTACCTGATCCCTTCTTCTTCGATTAACTCACTCCAAACGTATTCAAATGTTACCGCGTTCGCATAATCGACGCCGTCGAGTCATCGAATTCCGCGGCGCGAAATTCGATCCCGCCCGGAATCGGATGAACTGACCGGGCACAACGAGGATTTCAGAAAATTCAGAAGAAACGT